AATCATAAGTAAAATCGAGCCTAATAAAAATAAAAGTTTGATGGGCTTATGAATTCATCTAATCATTACATCTAGACTAAGGGTTGGTACTTTTTTTGTAGAGGGCCAAAAAGTGAACATTTTAGGCTCTGTGGGTCATATGGTCTCTGTCACGACTACTCAGCTCTGCTGTTGCAGCACAAAAGCAGCCACAGGCAACACCTAAACAAGTGGGACTGTGCTCCAGTAAAACTGTATTGACAGCCGGACGCGGTGGTGCACGTCTGTAGTTCCAGCTACTTGGGAGGCTGAGACGGGAGGATCACTGAGCCCAGGAGTTTGAGGTTGCTGTGAGCTAGGATGACGCCACAGCACTCTAGCCCGGGCAACAGAGTGAGACTCTGTCTCAAAAAAAAAAAAGGAATGAAATTCTCATAGCTGCTATAACATAGATAGCCCTTGAGAACATTATGGTAAACAAAAGTAGTAACAAAAGGATGAATATTATGATTCCACTTAAATGAGGTACACAGATGTGGTATCTCATGACTAAATGAGATCTGAGTCAAACTCAGAGAGAGAGAAAGTAGAACAATGGTCACCAAGGGCTGGGGTAGGGGAGAATGGGAGTTATTGTTTAATGCGTACAGAGTTTTGGTATGGGATGATGAAGAGAGCTCTGGAGATGGATGACGGATGGTGGTGACTGTCGCATAACAACGTGACGGTACTTAATGCCACTGAACCATGTACTTAAAAACAGTTAAAATGGTAAATTTCACGTTATGGATATTTTAGCACAATGTTTAAAGACGGGCAAAGGATATGAGCAAGAAATTCACAGAAGGCAAAATATATAAAACCAATAAACTCACAAAAAAAGAAAAAAGAATGAGGTAGCACTACATGTACTGAAATGGACATTTCTCTAATGAATATTATATTATTTGGACATGAAAGACACAAAACAATATATAGTTTCTCTGGGTCCACAGGAATGTATTTAAATGCACGAAAAATTGTCTGGAAAGACACACTCACAGCTCCCTCTTGGGAAGGAAGGAGGGAGCAGGATTGGAGTAGTGATGAAGAAGTTATTAGCCTTATCTGTAATGCTTTAGGTTTTTACAAGGAGGATTTCTTCAATGCATTACTTGTGTAATTAAATGTTATTTCTAAAAAACCCAAATAATGGAAAGGCAGAAGCAGAGAAGGGAGCAGACATTCAAGGTACAGTTGCTGAGGCCGGCTCTGGGGACCCTCGCTGGGTGCCATGTGTGAGCAGTGGGAGTGCAGTGCTGGGGTCGGGGGGAGGACGGAGCCTAAACTTGCATCGTAGTATCTCATGTGGACACTTCGGCTTTTTACACAATCTGTGGAATGGTATTGTTTTGTAAAACAGGGTAGTAAAAGCAATTAAATCACTGCTTAGACAGAAGAGCACGCTTGTTTCATAAAGATTTCTGTGTCAAGCAGAGATCACATGGGGAAATAACCTCGGCAAAGCAAGATTTAGGGTGCTTTTTAAACCCAATTTTTTTCTGACAGTGAGAGTAAGAGATGCTTATTGTTAAAAGTAGGAGTATAGGCCCGGCGCGGTGGCTCACGCCTGTAATCCTAGCTCTCTGGGAGGCCGAGGCGGGCCGATTGTTTGGGCTCAGGAGTTCGAGACCAGCCTGAGCAAGAGCGAGACCCCGTCTCTACTAAAATTAGAAATAAATTAATTGGACAACTAAAAATATTAAACCTGTTTGAATGTCGTGCTCACCTGTTCTTCAAACGAAGAGATCTGCCATCTGTACATTCGTAAGACATCCAACAAGCAGCTTGCATCCAA